TCGTTCATTTTTACAAAAAATTTTGTTATTTTTCAGTAAAGTTTAGTAAATGAATATTTTTATTTACAAATGGTGGCGAACAATAAATTGGAATATTGAAGGTTTTAAGCTTTTAAATGAAATTATAAATGCGCAGAAATCTAGCATTTATTTTTAAGTTCTTTTTTTTATTTTCAAATATTTTTATTTACGTGGTATTTAGAAACGAGCGGGGTGTGTTAACCATAAGACATAATAATTATGGACGTTACATTTGAATGGAAAAAACAAAGATTTTGCTTTTCGAGTGTTTGTTTTTTGAACACTGCGCGTTGCTGCATATTCGAATTTTCTAAGACTTCTGTAAAAATGCAAATTTCGAACAAATAAGGAAGAAAAAGTGCACGACAGTCGAAACTCGATAGCTCCAGATTGACAATCGACAAATTTTCATTAACAAACGACACATTTTAAGTGCTTGTAAATAACTAAAATATGTTTTTATTTTGCATTTTAGCCTCACTTATCGAGTTTTGACTGTGGCGTTACTTTGGATTATTTGCTGTGCATTGTTAGTGGATTTTTGCTGGAGTTAATTGCATAAATAACTGCGAAAATATTAAATACTGGACTTGTTGTTGTGCAGGAGCTACACTTATTGTTTTTGCTTGTGTGTGTGTTCATTTCTTTGCATGTATTTGTACATAAATATATGTATGCATGTGTGTGTGTTAAACTTGCATTTTTCGCTGAATTTTCGCAATTACCGCTATTTGCTGACTTATTCGTACAAGCGATGCCAACTAACGTTAGTTATAATTCAATTTCATTTAATTTAATTTAATTAGTTGTAAATCTTTATATAACAATTAAAATGAGTAGCTTGTCAGAATTATGTACTACGAAAGTTGTTTAAGTTCAATTTTATATTTATACAATTTTAATCACATTCCTTTTAATTTAATGAATATTAAGGTAAATATCATAATATTTATTAAAAAATATATGTAAATATATTAGCATATTTATTTAATTTAAATTTAAATACACACGAATTATATCACAAAATGATGCACTAATAGTTTTTTTTGGGTTAATTTTGATTTTTTTCTGTTAAAACTTCAACTCATAATAATAGTTTTCAGTATATCTGAAAAAAACTTCGCCTTCGCTACAATTACTTTTACATATTATAATGTAAATTTGTAAATCGAATATAATTTGTTACAACAATTAAATTTTTTCAGTGTACTGTAGGTAAAATCACCTGCGCACTGAAGTTATTTTTTAAAAACTATGATTGCTTTGGACCACACGAAAATACTACAAATTGGAGAAAATGTTTTGTTACCATAATTTTTATTTAATAATTAGAGTTAATACTATTTTAACAAAATATATTTT